GGTGGTATAGTGGTGAGCATAGCTGCCTTCCAAAGGACAGCATTTGAGAACTTGTTAGAAATTCAAATTCTCAGACACTACCCCAGATCTACTGAGTCAGAAGCTCAGGGTGGGGCCCAGCCGCTGGTTTCAACAAGCCCTCCAGTAACTCTGAGGCCTGATAAAATGTGGGAACTGCTGCTCTGACAGGGCTCCCAATTACTAGTTCATGATCTACATCAAAATCACCTGGGGAACATTAACAATTTAAGATTTTTATTCATTAGATCTGGGGTGAGTCTCAGGTAGCATGAACATATAAAATGCATGACACCAGGTTAAATTTGAATTTCAGATAAACAGTGAATAATTTTTTTTAGTATAAGTATGTTCCAAATATGAAATTCATGAAATTCAAATTTGATTTAACTGCACATTCTATATTTTTATTTGCCAAATTTGGCAACCCTACCTGCTTCTTATAAGCTTCCAGCAGATTCAGCTAAGTTTGGCCTATATCCTGTACAATCCTTTAAATACTTAAAGATAGGGATCTGGTTGTCCATATATTCTTATCATTTCCTTATTTTACACATCATATCTTTGTTGCTATAACATAGGATAACATAGACTTTTGGCAGCCACATCATGATTGAATCTCTGACCATTGAAAACCTCTAAGTCCTTCCTAAATATACTGCCTCTACACTATTTCTATTCCAATTTTAGAAAGTTAGTTCCAGAATGTGGCATTTTTCACTATCCTGTTTCACCTTCTTATATTCCTTCCGTTGCTCCAGTCTGTTGAGTCCTTTTAGATTCTGACTGAATTCATGAGCCTTCCCAGATTGTATCCTTGGTGAATCTGATTATCAGATTGTCAAAGTTCTCTTCAATGGTGAGCATATTGGGTCAATGGTGAGGACAGAGCCCTATAGTCCCCCTTTAATACCTCCACCTAATGTGACATTGACCTATTAGGTAGCTCTCTTAAGCATAGGTCAATCTATCCACCAATTACAGCAGTACAGACTATTAGTTCCCACCAGCACAAAGTCTCTCTCTCTCTCTCTCTCTCTCTCTCTCTCTCTCTCTCTCTCTCTCTCTCTCTTTCTCTTTAATATATTTTATTGATTTTTTACAGAGAGGAAGGGAGAGGGAGAGAGGGTTAGAAACATCGATCAGCTGCCTCCTGCACACCTCTTACTGGGGATGTGCCTGCAACCAAGGTACATGCCCTTGACTGGAATCAAACCTGAGCCCTTTCAGCCTCCTGAGTTTTATCCTCTGAGCCAAACCGGTTATGGCACGATGTCTCTTTGTCTTATGAAATCTCACAAGGATTTCATAAAAGATAACATCAGTGCCTCACAGAAAGACCATGTGCCTGCAGTAACTCCCTGGTTTGCTGGCCCAGCAACCCTAACATAGTGAGCAATGGCCCCTGCCTCTTCTTTAGGGCTTAACGGGTCATCCTTTGAATAACCTGCCTCAGATTCCTGCCTGGCACCCTCCAACTCACCAGAAGTTGGTAGAATCCACCATCTGTCCTAGTGAAATGCAGACTGCACCTGCCCCCTGTACCTCGCACCCTGAAAGATTGCCCCAGAAGCATAGCAGTCTCACCCAGACATTTCCCTAGTGCTGGGAATAGAATTTCTCGGTCTGGAGATCTGACTCTGATGTTCAGAATAGCCCCTGTCAGCTAGCTCCTCTACCCCTGCCTGCAAGGAGTTGGGGAGCCTTACTCGCATCAGAAGGTAAGTCTGCAGAGCAGCATGGCTAAAAACCTGGCTTTCTACCCACATCTTTAATGTGCCTCCAGCATTGCCAAGTTGTGGGGAGGTTCTGAGGAGCTGTAATGAAGAGACGTCCCCTCCCCTCAAAGAGCTCACAGTCTAGAACAGAGGTTGGATGAAAACAAGTTGAACCCCCTATCTAAAGAGATGAGGATAAAAGCAGTGGGAGACAAGGAGTGTCCTATCTCCTCTCCCCCCTAACTCCTCACCTTCTCTGTCCATCCTGATACCAGCAACCTGGGAGGTCAGTCCAGGAGCAAATCAGGTGTCATGCTCTGATTAACAGCCTCTAGTTGCCTCCTGTCACTTTGATTTGTGACATAACCTGCCTTTTGATCTAGCCTCCATGCCCTTCCTCAGAAGTGCGGAAGGCTCCCCAGGGGAGGTGACAATTAGGCTGGGCCCTGAAAGATGAGTAGAAGTTGCCTGGATGGAGAAGAGGGCAACAGGTATTCCAACATAGGGTGACCACATGGGCAAAGGTGCAAAGGAGTGAGCGTGCTTGTCTGGGAACACATGACCAAGACCGAGGGGCTGGATGCTGGTTGCAGGATGAAGTGTATCAAGGAATGAAGCTGCAGGACAGCATAGGGCAAAACATGAAGTGGTCTTGCAGGCTGTATTGAGGGCAGTGCCAGGTATTCCTCCATCCCGCCTCCCATTATAACTGTTTTTCATTTGTTCTATCCATATGCATTGAGCTCCACTGGCTCGGGCACTTTGCTGGCACTAGGAGCAGAAAACTAAATGCCCCCAGCCTGGGAGAGCCAGGCCTGTGAACTCATAGTGACAGCAATGAGTGACAGCAAGAGCTCTGGGAGGGCAGCACCGTCCATAGGGCTAAGGGAAGGTTTCCAGGAGGTGGTGAGGCCTATGAGCAATCACTTTAAGAACTTGTAGGAGTCAGGAGAAGAGTGTCCCAGGGAAAGGGAGAGGCAAGAAAGATGGAGAACATGTTGAAGGGGGCATGAAGGCTAGATCAAAAGGCAGGTTATGTCACAACTTTCAGTCAAAGGGACAGGAGGCAACTAGAGGTGTTAATCAGAGCATGACACCTGATTTGCTCCGGGACTGATCTCCCAGGTTGTTGATGCAGGATGGACAGAGGGGGTAGGGGGTTGTGGAGGTTTGGGGGAGGCAGGACACTCAGGCCAAAGTGGACCAGAGTGAGGGGCTTGGGTTGAGATGGTAATGGGAGGGAAGCAAGTGGATAAATGTGAGCAATGTTGAAAAGAGAGGTTGAGGGGCCAAACTGGATGATAAGTGAGCTGCAGTGGGCCAGGGCAGTGGTGGTCTCCAAGCTCCGTACATGCACTTGGTTCAGGTGAGCAACATAGTGTCACCCATGAACTAAGCACAGTGGCCAAGGCAGGCGGGGAGCGGGGTTCCTAGAGAACTGTATGGGGCTGGAGAGTAGGTGATGCTTATGGGTGCTCCAGGAGGAGCCAGGGTGGAGCTGGGGTGCAGAGGTGGGATAGGGACAGGCAGGGTGCCTGCAAGGTTTGGGGTGGAGAAAGATTAAAAGAACATTTTTGGTCTGTATATGCCCAAGAGCCCTCCTCTCCTGCAGTCTGGATAATGCCCCCAGACACAGGAAGGGATCAGAGGTTCAGAGAGGGGTAGTGATGTTCTCAGGGTCACATAGCAAGGAGTGGAGGAGCCTGTCCTGGAACTCAGGGACGTGGGACTTAAGAGGATAGACATATAAAGGAGTCTGTGTTCTCAAAGTCCCTTTCTTTTTCTTTTCTTTTTTTAAAATATATTTTATTGATTTTTTTACAGAGAGGAAGGGAGAGAGATAGAGAGCTAGAAACGTCGATGAGAAACATCAACCAGCTGCCTCTTGTACACCCCCTACTGGGGATGTGCCCGCAACCCAGGTACATGCCCTTGACCGGAATCAAACCTGGGACCTTTCAGTCCGCAGACCAACGCTCTACCACTGAGCCAAACAGGTTTCAGCTCAAAGTTCCTTTCAGAGCTTCTATGCCTCTCACATGCCCGCGCCCCTTCTCTGCCTTCCAATCTCTGTGTCGTTGAATGTCCCCCACCCCCATCATTCTGAGGCCAAGGGGAGTGTGTGTTGGGGGTTGTGTTGTAGGGAAGGTCCATCCTGGATGTCCAGATATACCCATTCTCTTCTTCTCTTCCCACCTCCCTCCACCCTTCCCCTCCCTGGCATCCCACTCCCTGAGAAAGAGGCCTCCCTGTTGCTTAGCAACTAGCAGAGCCTTGGAGAAAGGAAATGGAAATAGCTCAGAAGGTGCCTCCCTCTGTTAAGATAGGTTCTTGGTGTGTATGTGTGTGCGCTCATAAGTGTGTGTGTGTGCCCACGCAAATGCATGCATGTGCTCTACTTTGGGCCTAGTGTGGAGCCAGGGCTTCTTACCTCCTAGGCCATGCTGACTCCCATGTCACTCTGGGCCTGTAGGAGGCTGTGTCTGCCTGCAAAGCTAACGTCAGTGCCACTTTTGGTCACATTCTCAGAAGCAGTGTTTCCAGAACAAAGGGGGCTTTTAATCTGCATCAGCGCCCCCCCCTGCCCCCCGCTCCCCCCCTACTGCTGGCTTTGGGGCAGTTAGCCAAATCGAAGTGGGGACTGAAAACTGCATCTGCGGTGGGAGTGCCCCTAAGTCCGGAGAAGGCTCTGGCTTCCCATCTCTGCAGGGCTGCCCTGGGAGGTGGGAGCACATGTGGACTGGATTCCCACCAGCCAGAGCCAGGACAATGAGTGTTTGGGGGAGAAGGAGATTTAAACTGACCCTGAAGGGAAAACAAGAATGAAACTAACAAGCTTTCCCAGGGACTCATTTGATTGCCTGGGGAGATGCAAGCAGGTGGGCAGGCAAAGGCTAGGCAGACAGGCCCAGGCATTGGTACAAGGCAGAGAGGCTTTTCCTAGGTGCTTACTAGGTCCCTGAAAATGATTCTATTCCAAGCCAAGGCCCCTTAGAAACGATCTACAGTCCCGCCTGCATTCACCCATCTCACAGTGCCCAATCCCCTCTCCTGCTCTGAGGGGTGATCCAAAGGTGCAAACTTGCTGTCCATCCCTCTCCGCAGTCTGAGGGGAAGCGGATTAGAGCCATGAGTAGGCCTTTAAATCTTCAGGATTAACCCGCGCAGAGAGGAGCTTAGCAGGTGGCCGAGAACTAACCATCTCGCCTCATGTCTGTGTCTGGTCCCACAGGGCCGAGGCCAGCAGCTCCGGGGCCAGCCGCTATGTCCTCCACCGTGAACAACGGGGCAGCTAGCATGCCGTCCCCGCCCGATGCTGCCAACGGCTTCCCGCAGCCCGGAGCCTCCTCCGGGAACTGGCCGCGGACCGAGGAGGAGATGCGCGCCGCCGAGCCCGGGCTAGTAAAGCGCGCGCACCGTGAGATCCTGGACCACGAGCGCAAGCGGCGCGTGGAGCTCAAGTGCATGGAGCTGCAGGAGATGATGGAGGAGCAGGGGTGAGCTGACTGCAGGGGCCCAAGAAGGGGAATCTGTTGGGCTGCAGGCCAGGGCCAGCGGGTAGGGGCGGGGACGGGGCTGGGGCTAGAGCAGAGCTAGGCAAGAGTGGGGACCCTGGAGCACAGTCAGGCAAGGGACCAAGGGAAGGGAGTCTGAAACCGTGGGAGTGGAACCATGGCAGACCCAACCGAACTTTTATTCATTTACTTGTTTATTCAACCAATAAACTGTCCTGAATACCCACTCTATGTCAAGCTCAGATTTACAGCAGCCAAGGAGACACAACTCATGCCTTTCAAAAACATCCAGTCCAGTCCAGTGCGGGAGAGAGGCATATAAATGTGCCTCAGTTTCCCCTTCTATAAAATTGATGGATTTAGCTGCCTAGACTCTGCCAAGCATGAGCTGCAGCCAGACAAGAAAGCACAATGGATCCTTACTATGTGGTTTCAGCAAAGGACTGCTGCTGGCTGCCACATCTGGAAGCTGGTTTTATCCTCTCTGGCCCAGAACCACTCATGGGCACAAAAGTGTGCTGGGCACTGTGCTGGGACCCAGAGTCGGATCGGAATTACTTCCTCAAAGTCTCTCCCCATCTCAAAAAGGAAACAAGCATGTTAACAACCAACTCCATCACAAAACAGGTTAGAATATTGGGACAGGACAGGACAGGAGAGGGCCAAGTGCTTCAGGAGCTCAGAGGAGAGGTTTTGAGAGGAGAAGACATTCAAACGGGCCTTGAAGGATGAGTAGGAGTTTGTCCAGCTGAGAAGGAGGAGTTGTGAGGGACCTCCCTGGCAAGTCTAGTAGAGCAGCCCTCCGCATGAGGCTGAAGACAAAAAAAGCAAGAAAACCTAGGAACAAAGCCTATCCACTTGTGCAGCTCCGAGGAAAGCTGATAGTCTCAAGGCTCCCTTTTGCCTCTGTCCTGAGTACTTTGAAAGGAGTGAGCTGGCTGCGGAGAGAGATGAAGTTGGGAGCAGGGCCTGTCCGTCAGATATGCACTGTCAGTGAGCTGAGAAATCAGAAATGCCAATGGGTGGGATTGGGCCTGGAGCCACATCAGGCCAGACAGCCTGTATACAGCAGTCCTTCCAAACCATACTTTTGTCTGCCCATCCAGTCCTCTTGGACTCCTCCAGAGGCAGCCAAAACACGGCTCACTGTCCCTGTGGAGCCCAGGAAGACACCGAGGCTCAGAGAGAGCCACCAGTGGCAGTCCATCAGGAAGGCCGTCAGAAAGGAAGGTCCTGGGTCCAGGGCCTCCTGCAGGGCTTATAAGGAAAAGACAGGGACACGGGGACTAGGTGTTCACCTCCAGCTGGGGACCAGGCTGAGGGACAGGGGAGGTAGGGTCTCTTCAAAGAGTGATGATGGAAGGCTACTGAAAGCAGACCAAAAGGAGGCCTCTGCTGGCAGCTGAAAACAGGTTCCATGAGCTGTGGATGTGAGCAGAAGAAATGAGATCCTGAGGCAAGATTGAATAGGGAATAGGATGGAGTGTCCTTCTGCAGAGAGAGCCCCAGACCTTAAACCTGCAAACCCTGCTGAGTTGGGAGAGGATTGAAGGGAGTATGGCTGTGGGTAGGGAACAGAAGGGATGCTTTATTCAGGGAACCCTAAGGCACATTCCTCAGGAAGCTTCTTTCCCCCATCCCTTTCCCCTGGCAAATCTCCTCCTCCTCCAGGAGCCCCAAGCCCCTTTCTGCACCTGGGAGGACCTTTACCAGATGAAGGCAGCCTTTGATGGAAGGGGATAACATTTGGCCAAGTCATTGCCGTCAGTCCCCAGGCATTAAGGACCTGTACCTCTCTGGGAAGCACCCACTAGGTCTCCAGATGTTCAGTCAGGGCACCTTCCTCCCACCCAAGTCTTTACTGCAGGTGGTCCTTAGACTGGAGTCTCCCACAAAGCTAGCTCTCCAGTCACCATCCCCCTCTCCTCCCATCTCTTAGTTGCAGCCTGGTGGGTGAAGGCCACAGCCACTCTGAAACCAAACAATCCAGGCTTTTAAGCCCAGACCTGTGACCTTGGGTAAACCCCAATTACTTGCCTTCCAGAATTGTTCTGAGGGTCCCGTGGACTAAGGCATGACAGGGCTCCTCTGCCCCCAGTCAGTGCCCAGAAAATGCTCCACAAACACTAGGGACCCTTGCCCTGCTAGCAAATCTAGTCATTAATATCCATTTCTAGAAACACTGGTTCATTTGCGTTTATTTACCAGGTTCTCAGGCATTTGACAAATATTCCCACTAGTCACAGGAACACGCATTCTTTGGCCTCATTAAAAAGCAATCCCTTCCTTAATATTGATGGATGGCAGGCTAATTCGCTGGTGATTGATGCTGCATTTGGAAACACCTTCCAGGGTAGCCTCTGTGTGCAGCCTGCAATCACCGTAGGAGTGGGGACAGAGCCCACAGCCTGTGCAATGTGATGTTCTCACCCCCCACACCACCACCACAAACATCCCCACCCACCCTACCTAGGCCCTTTCCTGTGAGGACACAATGGCAATGGTGGTGGTAGCAAGGTGGCCTCATTGGGCGTGGAGCTATGAGCCCTCCCCTCTCCCTTGTTCTGTTTCCTCTTTTATAAAATGGGAATAGTGAGGCCATCTACCGCCTCAGAAGTCATCTCTTCTGTTCCTCCGTGAAAATCAAATTAATGACAAAGGAAGGGATTATCTAAGAGCCTAGGTCTGGGCAAGGACAGCAGAATGAAACATTTTCCACTCTGAGAATATCTTTTTTCTTTTTTCTTTTCTTTTTTTTTTTTAATATATTTTATTGATTTTTTACAGAGAGAAAGGAAGAGAGATAGAGAGCTAGAAACATCGATGAGAGAGAAACATCGGCCAGCTGCTTCTTGCACAGCCCCTACTGGGGATGTGCCCACAACCAAAGTACATGCCCTTGACCGGAATCGAACCTGGGATTCAGTCCGCAGGCCGATGCTCTACCACTGAGCCAAACCGGTTTCGACTGAGAATATCTTTTAAAATGCAGTATCTTCTCATCCCACCTCAGCCCTAGAGGGCAAGCCAGGAAGTCCCCAAAGCAGCAACAAATTTGGCGTGTCCTTCCCATACAGGGGAGTGGGGACGAGGGAGACAGACATCATTGTTTTGGCTTTTAATATGAGGGTTGGCCAATGCTAGCCAGTGTGGCCTTAAGTTGGCAGATGCTGCCACTTCCACAAAGAGTGAGTGGTTTGGGTACCAGCTTCCCTTCCATGACAGCCTTTGCCTCCTAGGTATGCAGAGTGAGGAGGTCCAGGTGGCTCCTGACCTGGGTGGGACCTTGTTGAGCTGGCAGGGGTCTGGAGTAGAAAATAACAGAGAGCTTGGGATAGCTAGACCCTCTGTTCCCATCACTCTGGAACAAAATCAATCACTATGATTAATTGAGCACCTACTATGTGATGGGCAAAGGACTGTATATGCATCATCTCTCTTAATCCTTATGATAACCTTGAAAGGCAGGTTACTATCTCATTTCACAGCTGTAAGGGCTAAGGCTAAGAGAAGTGTATGAACTTGTCCAAGGTCACAAAGCTAGGCAATTGGGGGAAGGGGGAGCGCGAGGATGCCAGGACTCAAAAATAGGAGTGCCTGGCTCTCCTGCCTCCCCTCTTTTTTTCTTTTTTTTTCTTTTTAAATATATTTTATTGATTTTTTACAGAGAGGAAGGGAGAGATACAGAGAGCCAGAAACGTCGATGAGAGAGAAACATCGACCAGCTGCCTCTTGCGCAACCCCTACTGGGGATGTGCCCGCAACTCAGGTACATGCCCTTGATCGGAATCAAACCTGGGACCTTTCAGTCCACAGACCGACGCTCTACCACTGAGCCAAACCGGTTTCGGCCTGCCACCCCTCTTAATCACTGTTCCACATAGCCTCAGCTGAGAGGCTTGACCTCAAAAGATAGGAGGAGAGAGGAGAATAGGAGATGGCGGTCACACTTGAGACCTATTTGCCCAGTAACTAGTAAATGTTATTCCTGGGTCCCCAGCTTCTCCCAGCATGAAACCCTGGAGCAGAGAGTGGTCCTCCCCAAGCCACCAAGTTGATTCAATCCAGCCCCTCAGCCCTCAACGACAGGTGCTGTAGTTCTGGTCAACTTGCCATAAACCTGCCAGTTCTGGGATGATCCCCAAGTCCCTGCACATGTCCTATTCCAAGTCTCAATGAAGCCCATTTCTCAGCCTCATATGCTCCATAGACCCCTAGACATGGGGCTTGAACCCTGGCCTGAGACCCCTCCTATCCAACTTGGAATCTAGCCTTGCTCTTGGGCTATCTCCTCCCCAACCCCGCCATGTGCAGAGCCCCATGCCAATGGGCCAGCCAGCCTGGGTCTTCCTCCCAGAGTCCGGAGCTAAGCCGTTTTAAAGGGGCCTATGCTGCTTGTCTCTGTGCTGGCGACAATGACAAGCTGGTATGAGGAAAAGATGAAGTGGGAGCAGTTCCTCTGTGCCTCCACTGCTCAGAGAGAGGGCACCACCCCTGCTTCCTGCACACCAGACCAACCCAGCCGTCCGAGGGCTCTGCACTGCCCAACAAACAAGGACAAGGACCCTCCAGCTGAATGCTAAACAGGGACTGAGGAGGACACCACGGGCCAGGCCCCGAGCTGGGTTAAAGATGCCAGTCTAGTGTGGCCTAAGCACCCCACACCCCACACATCCTCCCTGTGATGGGGGTGGGAGTTGGGAGAGATGGGCCTCTCCCCCTGCCAAGCAGGGTTCAACCCTCCATATGGTGGGCCACACAGGTGCCTGAACCTGCAGAGGATTAGACCCAAGTTAGGCGTCAGGAGACACCTGGTTAAAAAGCTGTGCTCCTTATCTTACCCCTGTCCCCAACATGTCCAATCAGCCCTTGAGTCCCAGCCATTTTCCCACCTAGACAGTTTTTGCCCACTTCTTCCCTTCCATCCTCAGGCCCACTCTCTAGCTCCAACTTCACCATTTCCTGCATGAACTCCTGCAGTAGCCCCATAGCGGCCTCTCTGCCTTCAGGTCTCTCCTCTGCACAGCCACCAAAGCCATCTTTCCAAAATAAAAAATCTTTCCAACCTCCAAATTCTTCGATGCCTCTCCATCACCAGTCACTCATTTATCAAAACATTGGGGTGCCACATAAGGCAAGCAAGGTGGCAGGTATTGGGGACACAATGGCAACCCAGACAGACAAGGTCCCTGCCCTCAGGGAACACCCAGGCCAGTGCAGAACACAGAGGAGTCAACAGATATGACTAGCACAGGAACCACCTGCCAGGATCCAGGAGGGATAAACATCAGCACCTAACCTGGGCAGAGGGTATCCATGCTGTTGTACACACCCTATGAGTCACTTCTTTGTGTTTAGCTATGATTATCTCCTCAGGGTAAACCTGGAAGTTAATTTGAGTCAAAGGGAGTGTTCATTTTTTAAGATTTAAAAAAAAAAGAATTGCCACGTTGCTTTCTAAAAAGACAGGGTCCATCCACACATGCTTGTTGAAGGGAAGAAAAGAATTGAATAGAGAAGGATGGAGAAACAATATGGAGTCCCTAAGAGAAAACAATGTACTATTTTTATGAATAGGCTGAATGGGGAGGCTGGACCTGCTGCATGGATAGAAGGTGAATGGTGAATGGGTGATAGAGACAAGACTTGACCTCATTCTTATTTACCCAGGACACTGACCTGCAGCCCAGAAAGGAGAGAGGGTGTGGGCTGGGAACCCCAAGATTCATTTAGCAGTGGTCACTGGATACAGGGCTAGGGGCTGGATGAGCAAAGACATGACCCCACCACCTGGGCAGCAAGGACACATGCTGGAGAAAAATGCCAGGAGAGCTGGAAGGGCCAGGAGGCAGCTGTCACAGTGGTGCAGTGAGAGAGAATGAAGACTGACTCCAGGGTGTCAGAGTGAGGATAAGGAGGAGAGAATTCTGGATTTTGATCTCTAGCCTGAGACCTGGCTCAAGGAGGGAGAAAGGGAGAAGGGAGTAGAGAAGTGAGAACTTCCATTCAAGACACAGATTTCATCCACCCCACCCAACTTACACAGAAAGAGACAGTCCAGCACTGGGATCTCCAGCAAGCCACTTGATAGCCTTGATCCTGCAGAGATGGGGATGCTCGAAGAACCCCACAAGGTTATTGTGAGGATCAGATGTCCTTGAGGCTAGGAAAGCATAAAAAGCCATGGATTCTCACTTCTCCCTAAAATGTGCCCAGAGTGCATATAGTTAGGATGTGGGAGGGAGGCCTGCCCTGGGGGTGGATGAGGGCCAGAAGGAAGCATAGCCCCTCCTACCTGGTCTCCCCACCTCTGGGAACAAATCTTCCTTTCGTTTATTTGTTTGCCTGGCTGGTGTTTGTTTAGTTGGTTGGTTGGCTGCTTTGGTACAAAGTGGGCAGGCCTTGCGCTACCTCAGTGCTGAAAGCCTTGCTTGGACAGACCATTTCAAGCTGGAAAGTGCTCTTCTGACAGGGCTGGGGGAGGGGCAGGGAGGACACAGGCAGGGAGAGAGCAGCCATCACCTTCCATGAATCTCTGCAGGTACTCTGAGGAGGAAACCCGGCAGAAGGTCAGGACTTTTCGGCAGATGCTGATGGAGAAGGAGGGAATGCTCACAAGAGAAGACCGGACTGGAGGCCACATGTGAGTGCCACCTGTGTGGGGGCAGGGGAAGGAAGGGTGCAGGCTCAGACAGCAGCTAGGTGCCAGAGGGGCCTTTCTAAATGCTCCTCCTGAGGGTTGGGAGTCTGCAAGGAAGAGAAGAGAAACGTGGACTCTATCTACTGGAAGCTCCAGCCTGGCCCAGGCACAAGGCAGGGCACCAGGGCATCAATGGTACCTGCCTCTGGTTCTATCTATGGCCCATCAGTGGGAGAGGCAGTCCACTTCCTCAGGTCAGGAAACTTGATAAATGTTCTGACCCCAAGCATTGTCACAGGTGGGACCTGAAGGTATTCTTTCTGCCCCAACCCTTACTACCCATACAATGGCCTCCAGAGTAAACACATACTCTGGAAAATAAGACTCAACACACCATTGTTAGCGTGGCCAAAGTCTTGTCAGAGAAAGAGAGCATGAGCTGGGGTGTGTGTGTATGTGTGTGTGTGTGTGTGTGTGTGTGTGTGTGTGTGTGTGTGTGACATCCCTGCACCTGTCAAAGGGCAGGAGGCACCTGTCACAGGATTGGTGGGCGATAGGCCCCCAGGAGAGCTTTGGATAAACAGGGAAGTTATAGGGAGGTCAACTTTGTCTCATTTAGAGAACTGGGAACCACTCAAAACTATACAGAATGGAGCAGACTGCCACAGGAGGGTGGGTCAGCCTGTCCCAGAGGGTCTCCAGGCATTTCTGGATGGCCAGAAGCCTGGCAGGCAGTGTAAACTGAGTGTCACTGAATCCACTCTGATCAATCTTCCCCTTGCAAAGCCTCAGTGTCCCTGCCCCATTGTGGCATTCCCTGCTTCTTACCTCGCTTAAACTTTCCCTCTCTGGCCTGGGTAGGAGTTAAAGCAGAGTCAGAGCAGCCTCAGGCTTGTGGAGGTTCACAGATGACTTGGGAAGCCAGGCCCAGTTGGCCTCTCCCTTTTATTTTGTTGGGAATAGGTGATGTCACCACTAACTCCTTCTCTCCAGCCCACCGGAATTCCCAGCAGCCCTCAACAGCTTCTGTGCCTTTCCCCTCATGATGCCAGCCAGTTCCCTATAGAACAAGGCCAGCCCTTCTCTTCCTCTCTCAAACCTCCTGGTAAATCAGCTCCTCCTGTTGCTGTCTGCACCACCTCCAAACCCAACAGGTCCTGGCTTTCTGACTGGTGCCCCTTCAAATCACCCAGGACTCCTCTGGACTCTATCTGCCACCTTCCCTGGGCCCAGCTCAGGCCTGCCCTTTTTCCCCTCCCCTGGGCTTCTTCCTATTAATCTAGTTGTCCTTCCTCAATTCTGCTTTCTCCTCCAGCTACCAGCCCACATTTTTCTCTCCTTTCTCAATAAAAAATTTTTTTTTAAATATATTTTTATTGATTTCAGAGAGGAAGCGAGAGGGAGACAGAGATAGAAACATTAATGATGAGAGATAATTATTGATAGGTTGCCTCCTGCACAACCCCTACTGGGGATTGAGCCTGCAACCCAGGCAAGTTCCCTTTTCCAGAATTGAACCAGGGACCCTTCAGTCCACTAGCCGACGCTCTCTCCACTAAGCCAAACCAGCTATGGCTCAATCAAATTTTTGTGTGTGGCATGCATTGTCTCCACTTCCTTAAGCCATGCAGATGTGGTGACTTGCTCAGGCTATGGCCACTGTCATGCCATGGGCCTGACCTCTCTGGCAGTTGTGTTTCCACCATTATGCTTCCCCTTCTGAAAACCTACTTCCCCCCCTGGCTTCCAGTAGGCAGTTCTCTGTGAATTCCTCCTGGCCCTCTGATGGCTTCTGCTGTCTTCCTTTTTCCTGCCCACTTCCCAGATGTTGGTGCCCCTCCCCCCAAGGTTCTGTCACATCCTCAGGTCTGTTCCTTCCTTCTGCCTTCCCTCTTCTCCTGGGGGAATCTTATCCCTTCTACAGCTGAACGCTCTCCTGTTAGTGGATGATTCCCAGGTCTTTTCCAGTAGCCCTGATCTTATCTTTCCATAAGTGAATGAACAAATGAATGATGCGTTTAAGAACTGGGATGCACTGAGAAATATGCCAAGGGAGTGTAGCAGTGTCTCGACCATCAAAGGAAATGTCCTTGAGGATCTGTGATGCATGCCTAACCCTGAGCTAGTGCAATGAGGAGGGAGGAAAGAAGGGAAAGACGTGCCTCCTGTTCTCTGGGTGGGAACACAAACCTGAAACCTGAAACCTGGAATTACTGGCAGCTCCAGACAATGCAGCCACTTGACCCTTTCAGCCCTGTGCTTGTTCAGTTGGGGAACTGAGGGGGACAGGCTAGTGTTGTCAGTCAGGAAAGGGTCCTGGGGAGACTTGACAGTCGGGAAGAACCCCTGGTCTGGAGGCAGAGGACAGTATAGAATTGGCAGGATCCTGGGACCCCACTAGAACATGAACTCCATGAAGATAGGATCATTATCCGTTTTGTTTATTGCTATATCCCTAGTGCCTAGAACAAGGCAACTTGACAATCTTCCCTGAAGCCTCAGTTTCCTCCTTTACACAGAAAAGGGGTTCGACCAGAAGGCTTCTTTTAGTTCAGGCAGCCAAAATGGTGTGAAAATATCACTCCAAAAAGTGACTATACCAAACAAACTAAGGAGGCTGATGGTGCGCCCCAGATTACTGAGAGGTTGGGAGGAGCTGTTTGTGGTGCTGAACGGAAGGCCCGAGGAAGAGAGATGAGATTGGTCCTGTACCTGCCTTACTGTAGACCTTCAATTCTTAGCTCAGCGTGTGGGGTAGTTGAGGGAGAATGCAGGCTCTAGTGTCAGACATTCCATCTGTCCAAACCTTTAAGTTTAATTTTAACAGCCTGGGCTATGGATTTCTGCTCCACCACACCCCAGCTCTGCGGCTTGAACAGGTCCCTAACTTCTCTGGGCTTCCAACTCTTTACTTATAAAATTAGTACCTGCCACATATGACTGTTGAGGAAATTAATTCAGACAATGAATGTAGATGTGAAGAATAGTCACTAGCACACAGCAGACATGTATCACTACTAGATGACCAGCACAACTATCTTAGTCAGCTCAGGCTACTATAACAAAAATACCAGAGATTGGGTGGCTTTGTTGTATAACATTAAAAACTTGTTTCTCACAGTTCTGTAAGCTGGGAGTCTGAGATTATGGTCAGGTTCAGGTGATAAATGTGTTCTTGGTTGTAGATTGTGACCTTCTTATATCCTCACATGACAAAAAGAAAGCTAGCTTTTTTGTCTCTTCTTATAGGAGTGCTAGTCCCATCCATGAGAGCTCACCCTCATGACCTAATTACCTCCCAAAGACCCAGCCTCCTAATACCATCACATTGGGATTACAGTTTCAACATAAGAATTTGGAGGGGACACAACATTCAATCCATAACATCCATGATCCCCATGATCACAGGGAGGCCTGGCAATGGCGAGAATTGGGTTGATATTAACTTATTCCCCTCTGCCTGAGTTTCTCCACCCTCTCTGCCAACTGTGAGATTCTCTCAGGGATTTATAAAGCCCTCTGACCACTCAGCAGTTTCTGTGCTCATGTCTTTGGCTTCCTGACCCTGATACCGCACACGCATTCATAGACAGGTAATTTGAGATGTATAGAAATTCAATGCCTTCTCATAGTAAGATGGCAAAGAAGAGCCAGCTGAAGGGTCTCCACCTTGTGTGTGTGTGTGTGTGTGTGTGTGTGTGTGTGTGTGTGTGTCTGATTTTAACTGTCTACAAACTGTAAGAATCCATGACAACTCCCACTCAGGAAAGGGTCTCAACAAAGAGTCACTCCCAGAGCTTTTTATTCCCAGGGATCATCAGTCTTCCTTAAGCTGACTGATTGATTTGAGTGACAGTCACTTGGGGCAGTCCCACCTCAACCAACACTCCAACTGTCTACCCTCCAGAACATCACACTGCTGCAGTATTATCTGGATGTGATCCCATAGATGGTGGGAGCCAGTGAAAGGTTTTGAGAGGTGTGATGTGGTCGGACGAGTGTGCGGGGACTTTGCCCTTTAAAAGATGACCAGACGGATGAAACTGGGGACAGGTGATGGAGAGAGATAGTAGGTCCCAGAGATCTGGAGACTTTTGTCCTATTTTGTGTGGGGAGTCCTATTTTATCCCAAAAACCTTCTGTAGGTTCCCCATCATCCATGCAGCCAAGTATGGACTCTCTGGCCTGGCATTCAAGGCCTCCACACACTAGACTCAGCCTGGTCTCTCACTCTTAGCATCACACAGCAGCCAGCCTGGCCTACTGGAATTCTTAGCTGTGCCCTGTATGTTTGCACTCCCATATCTTTTCACATTCTGGGCCCTCAGTCTCAAACACCCTAGCCTCTTCTGCACAACACACCCCATCAAAACACCCCATCCAAGGCTGCCTCTAAAAACCACTTTGCCCATATTGCCAGGATAAAAGTAAAAGCTTCTCTTCTTTGGAGTGCATATGTTTTCTTTATTTCTTGGGGCTGCTGTCATTTCTTTTTCGTTTTTTGTTTGTTTGTTTGTTTGTTTGTTTTTACTCTAATAGACAATGACAACTTTTAAGAATACTGTTTTCATAGTTTTGTAATACAACAAAATGTTTGGAATAGAGGATTTATAGAGAACAAAATTCATAAGCTACTTTCTAAACACAGTGAGAAAATTCATCCTTTCTTTCAGTGCATCTAATGTTGGATGGAGTGTGACCTCTCTGTGCCTCTTTATTTTATCTGGAATATGGGACTATTAATGGTGGTACTCACATCAAAGGCTTGTTCTGAGCATTAAGTGATTAAATACATGTAAAGTGCTTAGAATAGTACCTGGCACCTGCATTAGTAATTATAATATGCACAGTGTTATATTTTTTCCCTGCACGTTGAGAAGATAGAGAAGAGGCCTCAGGCTTGACTCATCTCCTTTCCTGCCATCCGTAAACCTCACAACCCCCTGCCTCCCTCCAGGCCCCTGGCAGGCCTGGCACACTGGCCGAGTGAATAAGCTGGAACAGAAAGGGCAGAGCCTTTGCCTGGGATCTGCCATTCCTCTGTCTGGACTCATTCATCTGTCAATTGGCCATTATGCTCCTGGATAATGGAAAACAGAACCAGTTAATTAGCAAAACTGCTGGCGGGAAGAAGGGCGTGTGACAGGCAGTCTTTTCCCAGGTCAGAACCTTGCCCACGGCAGCCCATCCAGCATGTGTCCTGGGCAGTGCTGTCCGTGTTCAACCTCGATATGTTCTTGGTCCCTCTGCAGTGGACTCTTTGGGCCTGCTTTGGTCAGTTACTTGGGACTTGATTTGTTCTGTCACAGGGAGGAATGCCTCCCCTGCCTATTTCATGGACTTGGTTAGAAGTAAATGAGACCACACACATGAACTTAAGAGTAGGAAATGTTAAACAAATCTAGAGCTCAGTATACCCCCTTCACCTGTGTCTACAAAGTAGGAAGGAAACAGCTGAGCTAACATCTATAGCAGGGAAGCACAGCCAGCTAAGTCAAGGGCTATCCTGTTTGCACATCACTTCTCAAGGCCAATTGCATAGGTGAACTTACATTCTTTACTCAAAGGTCCCAAAACCATAAGGGATGTTCCTTTTCCTCTCTGGGCCTCAGTTTTCTCATCTATAAAATGGGAGGAGGGGACAATTTTTCTAAGTAGCTCTACATGGCATGTGTGAACTGCAAAGCACTATTTGAACATTAGAAAATATTGTTGTTAGTAATACTGTCATCTAGGAAAGGCAGGATAGGAGGACCCTGGGAGATCTTGCAAAGCAGATGTGGTGGAACCAGCCCCACAAAACTATTCCCGTTGATATCCCTGGAACTCCCAGAACAAGTCTTAACAAAGGTTCTGAGACCTTGTGCCTCTTCCTGAGCCTGCTACTCATACCCTATGCCTGCTTTCAAGAAGGGGCTGAAGAATGAGAGAGGCCAAATGACAAGGCTCAGGAAGGGATGATAGGTCATGGGGAGAAAGTTCCTTCCTGGGACAGAGGAAGAAACGGAGTGGCCAGCAGACTAAGCAGGGCACAGTGAGGGGAAGGAGCTCAGTGAGGGCCTACACTCAGTGGCTCACTCAGCTAGGATGTTAGGAGGCAAGAAGGGCTCCCTGCAGAAGGCAGTGCCCAAACTGAGCTATTTTATTTTGTCAATAATTGTCCTCATTTTTGTGTCCAGATAAGCGGAAGCCCCCTCTCCCACTGGCTCCACACAATGTTGGAGTGCCCCTAAGTTTTGCTGAAGACTATCTTTTTAAAAAAATATATTTTACTGACTTTTTACAGAGAGGAAGGGAGAGGGATAGAGAGTTAGAAACATCGATGAGAGAGAAACATCGACCAATTGCCTCCTGCACACTACCTACTGGAGATTTGCCCGCAACCAAGGTACATGCCCCTGACGGGAATCGAACCCGGGACCCCTCAGTCCTCAGGCCAACCCTCTATCCACTGAACCAAACCGGTTAGGGTTGCAGACTATCTTTTACATGTCAGGCATTTGTGTGGCTTAGGGCTGTGTGGGGTGAGCTGAGGATTTCAGGGGCAGGGATAGGAGGTGGGAGGCCACTGGCTTCAGGAGAGGAACGTGGGGAGAGCACAGAGGTTTGAGTGAAGGGATGTGGGGTGTTTGACTCTGTGGGGGTGGGGGAAATGACATAAGCCTCTCCTTCGTCACCCCAGAAAAACCTCCTGTACTGCCTGGATGACTTCAAGGCTTCCAGGGTCATGTTAGGGAACTGAATGGCATCGCTGAGATTCTAGATTAGCAGATTCCTGGAGATTTGTTTCTGAAGCGTCTTTTCCCTCAGTAGCTGTGGTTTGCCTTCCTTGCCCTATATCTCTTTCATGTGTCACAACTGCTTTTCTCCCTGCAAGAGGAGGTGTTGGTATGTGAGTGTCAGACTGAGCTCCCCATCTAACAGTGGTAACCGTGTGTGTGTGTGTTGGCGGGGGGGGGGGGGGGGGGCAACAAGAGCTTCAAAAACAGAATCTCTCTTAATCCTCTCCTCAAAGCTGGGATATTCTTTCCTTGTTGGATAGATAAGGACCTTGAGGCTCAGTGAGCTTGGTCATGCCTGGATTCAGACCTGTCTGTGTGAATCCAAAGCTCATGTCATGTTTTGTGTTGGTTTTTTTTTAAAGTATATTTTATTGATTTTTTACAGAGAGGAAGAGAGAAGGATAGAGAGTTAGAAACATCGATGAGAGAGAATCATCAATCGGCTGCCTCCTGCACACCCCCCACTGGGGATATGCCCGCAACCAAGGTACATGCCCTTGACAGAAATCAAACCCAGACCTTTCAGTCCGCAGACCGACGCTTCACCACTAAGCCAAACCGGTTTCTGTTCATGTCATATTTTAACACTCTGCCATCCAAGTCCTGGCTTCTCTCTCTCTCTCTCAGGGCAGGGAAAGAATGAGCCAGGTGAATGGCATCCAGGAGTGAGGGCAACTGAGCCTCCATGCAGAAGAGGCATGGACTGAGCTAGTATGAAATGGAAAATGGAAGGTGGGGGGCACGACCCTGAAGCCGGTGCCCTGGAGCTGGGTTTTTGTAGGGTGGCTTCTGGGCGTATTTACTAAGAAGCAAAGTTGCAAAGCACCCGTTAACGCGGTGAATTCTCCCAAAGCCCTATAACACAGTTATCACTCTCATCTTGGACAAGAGGTTCAGAGAGGGGGCAGACAGGCACCAGGCCATACAATGACCTAGGGACAGTGTGTGATGCTGCCTTTTGGGGGAAAAGCATCATTCTTTGACATGCCCGCAGGGTGCAAACATCTGGCTGAAGGCTGGGCTCCTGAACCAAGAGCAGGGCCAGGACCACCTGGGGCCCTGCTGAGGGTAAGGGAGAGCTCTGCAAGATGGATGGGGAGCATCCGAGGCGGAGTGCTGCCGCCAGGCAGTGATTGATGACAGCTCGGCGCGAGGAGGCCTCCAGAGGCTGGAGGCAGCGGAGAGGAGGGCGAGGGGAAGCTATGAATATTTTAGAGAGGCAGCCAGGGCTGGAGGAAGGAGGGATGAGGGGGACGGAGGCAGTCGGGTGGGCAGGGGGAGGCAGTTCCGGAACTGGGACAGCAGGGTTAAGGAAAGCCTTATCAGTGAGGGCGGCTCAGAGAGGGGAAAGGAAGGCTGGAGAGGATGAGCGGGCTGAGAGGGGCAAGGGCCTGGCGAATGGGGCAGTGAGGTTCAAGGGGACAGGGATCCATGAAAGAGGCTCCATGAGGGGAAAGAGGGCTGATTAGGGGTGCCATGAATGGGACTAAGGGACAAAAAGTCAGTGCGGTTAAGGGGTCTCCATAAGGGGAGTGGCCTCAATCAGGAGGAGGGGCCTCATTGATGAGAGAGAGAGAGAGAGAGAGAGAGAGAGAGAGAGAGAGAGAGAGACAGAGAGAGAGAGACAGAGAGAGAGAGAGAGAGAGAGCGAGCGAGCTTGTAAAGGGAACTTAGGGGGAGAGGGGTGCTCCTTGCTTTTTTTTTCTCTCTTTCGCAAAATATGGCCCCGTTCAGGCTGGGAGTCCTGTAAGGAAGGCTCCCCGCGGGATCCCCCAAATCCCCGCCGGACCATCTAGGGGTCGAGGCTGTAGACGCCGGAGCCGGCCGCACCCCGCTCCCCCCGGGCCTTTGGGGCGGAGCAGGCCTGGGGCGCTGCTCTGAGGGAGGGGCGGCTGGAGGGCCCGACGGGTGCTGAGCGTCCCTGTCGCCGGCAGCGTGGCGGAGACCCCGCGGCTGCCCGAGGGCGCCGAGCCCGGCCTGGAGTACGCGCCCTTCGACGAGGACGACGGCCCGGTGGACTGCGACTGCCCGGCCGCCTGCTACCGCGGGCACCGCGGCTACAGGTCAGCGCCCGGCGCGGCGGGGAAGGGCGGGGCCCGGCTGGGGCGGTCCGGCCCCTCACCGCCGCCCGCCCCGCCCCCTCTCCGCAGGACCAAGCACTGGTCCAGCAGCTCGGCCTCGCCCCCTCCCAAGAAGAAGAAAAAGAAAGGCAGCCACCGGAGGAGCCGGTGAGAGCGCCTCCGGCTGCGGGGGGCGGGAGGGGCGCGGGGGGTTCCCCTCCCGCGGTGTCTGCAGGGACCCCCCCCCCCCCCGGCCTCCCTGAGCCTCTCTGCCCCCAACAAAGTGCGTTCCCGCTCCTGACCCCGCCCTCCACGAGCCCCTCCCTTTCACCACGTCCCCTCCCTTCACTGAGTCCCCACAGTGGCATCACCCCCCCCCCACCCCCCAAACCTCAGAGCCTCTGCCCCAGAACTAGACACACTGACCCCGTCCACCGATGGGTACCCCTCTGCCCTTCCCCAATAGCCCTGCCCTCCCCACCATTGTATGAGTGGCCTGGTTGGGGGGGTGGGGGGTTGCCAGCGTCTTATCTGTGGTCCCCTCTCCCCTGTCCTGCGTGAGACCCTGACAATCGTCTAGGGACCCAACTAACCCTGTGGAACTGTCTGTCCTTCTTTCTCCTCTGGCCCTCAGCAAAAAGAGGAGACTAGACTCCGAGTGCAGGTCAGTGATGGAGGCGGGCAAGGACCAGGAAGGAGAGGGGGTTTGGGGGGGGGGTGAGATTCTAGGGTCATCTCCAGATGCGGGAGGCCTTGGACCTCAGGGCCTGGACCTTGGACACCAACAGCCTTTCCCCAGCAAGGCCAGAACTCCCGCCATTACAGCCTCCAACCGTTGGTGTGAAGTAGCCCCCTCTTACCATGCCAAGGAGGCTAGAAGGATGACCAGGGACAGCACGGGCAGTTCCATCAACTGCCTTTAGGAACTTTGCCAATCCCCTGGGCCTCGGTTCACTCTGTACAGAAGGCAGTTGGCTTCATGGCCTGGAATCCCTTTTCCAGCTTTGAGCCCCAGGCACCCAGCCTTCCCTAGCCATTTCCAGCTGCCCTCTGCCTCCCAAGCCCCGTTCACTGGAGCCCATCTCCCACCCCTATGTCCGCAGCTGTGGGAGCTCCTCGCCCCTGCGCAAGAAGAAGAAGAGTGTGAAGAAGCACCACAAAGACAGGTACCCTTCCTCTCCCGGGGCTTCCCCTCACTTCCATGGGGCCCAGGACCAGGGCTGCCTGGGTGTCCCTGAGTCATCCCAGATGGACTCAGGAGAACCCTTTTGTGGCCCTACAGGTCTGATTCTGGGTCCAGGAGGAAGAGGCGGCACAGGTGAGCAGTGCCCTGTGGAGTGTGATAGGAGGATATGAGAGAGGCTAGTGCCCCCCTGCAGAAACCAAGGCCCAAAGGAAGCCATGATGGGAGGGGCGTTTTGAGGGTCCTGTCCTGCTCTGCCCTCCCACTCCAGGGACTCCTTCTTAGCCCCAGGCAGGAGACAATGAAGATCAGTGATTTGCAATCCTTGCCTGCCCCATGAGTCTGCCTTGATGTAGGGACCCCAAGAATTTCCAGACAATACAGCAGGTCCAGTGTCCAAGGGGTGTGTCCATAGAGGTGTCAGTTAGAAGGCAGAATTTTCAGGAAAAGTGCATGCCAGATAAAAGGAAGCCTCAGTTGGCAGAGACAGAGTGGGTAGGCTGTGGCTAGAATATCTTGAGGGGCAGGTGCCAACCCCCAACAGGCCTGAGTGCTATGGAGATGGCCTCCATCAAGGCAGGGCTAAGAGCCAGCATGAGCCTCTGAGGTGACTTACTCAGGATGGATTGGGAGAGAGGACAGGAGGAGGTGAGAAAGATAGGAGCCCAGGCAGAGGCAGGGATGGAGAAAGTAGAACACTCAGCTCAGAGGGAAAGGTGAGAGCTAGAGCCCATTCCAGCAGCCCTGAGGAGGAGCAGATTCCTAAGCCCCATTTTTGGGTGTGTATTTGCCCATGGCCATTTGAGGGGAGGGGGTGAGGTAGGAGCCTAGTTGGACACCTAATCCTGGCCCTCCAATCTCCCCAGTTTCCTCCTTTTCCTTCCCCAGTCCTTAGAGGCCAGTGTTGGCCCCTGCTGCCCTCAATATGTCACCATCAGCTTGTACAAGTCCTCTGGCAAGCACCTATCAGTCCTGGGAAGGACCTAGTGATGAGCTAGGCTAGATAGCTCCAGATCAGGAGACTAAGGCCCCAAGCATGCAACATGGGTTCTAGACCAAAACTTTTGCCCCTGTATTCCGTCTCTCCACCCCTATCCTCATCCCCGCTTCCCCCCTCCTTCCCCCCCTCCCCCCCGGTTCTGCCTCCCATTCCTTTTGATCCAGTGAGAAATACCTTCCAGTATTTCTTTGCATCACCTCATTTGGGGTCAGAAGAAAGCATCCGTTAAGGACTAGAGGATTGAGTTAGAATTTAGTGGCATCAGGGAGGGTGGGGCTGAGAGACCTATGGGACTGGGCATGAGGTGAGACCTTAGAGGGCTAATAAGAAGGCTCTCAATCCTTTTGTCAAAGGCAGGAATTGGGCTGTGGGGCCCACCTCAGAGAGCTGGACGGGATGGGATAGGGGTCCAGAGGAGTAATTCAAAAGCAGGGAGATCATGCCCAAGGGCAGGAAAATCACACCCAAGGGAAAGCATTTATTTTCTAAACCCCTGCTGACTGGCCCTGGGCTAGGCCACAGTCTAGAGGACAGAAAAGCAGGAGGCTTGGGCTCTGTCTGGGAGGGCCCCATCTGAAGAGACTGAGGGCACAGGGAGCACAAATGAAGTGTGGAGGGCCACTGCCCTCCCTGATAACTAATCAGAGGGGCCCATCCCAAGACTGATGGAGAAGATCAGGGCAGAGCTGCCTTCCTTCTGGGTCAGTGGCCACGTGACCATTTAGCACTCGCAGAGGGAGCAGCAGTTAGGGCTGAAGGTGGAGATCATGGGCTTTGCTGGAGAAAGAAGGAACAGACTTGGCAGAATTGAAGAAACCAAAGCATGGAGTGGGATGGGCAATTCCATGCCTGCCAGGAAAGCTCAGGTCAGAGGAGGGAACAAATCTCAGGTTAAGGCATAGGACAGCAGGGCTCCCTGGAGGCTCACCCTCCCTTGCCTGGCTCAAGCTGTTCTGTCACCTAGCCTCTGCTTTCTGTAGATCTCGAAGCCCCAGGAGCAAAAGAAAAGAGAAGAACAAAGAGAGGAAGAGGTGAGCACTCTTCCCCATCCTCCAGCTCCTCAGCCCCTCCTCCCACACAGCAAACCTGGCCCCGTGAATCACAGAATCAGGCTCTGGAAGGGAGTTAATTTTGTACCCCCTGCCCAGGCGGGAACATTCAGACCCAGAGAGTAAGCCAAAAGTCTGGAGAGTCCAGTCAGTGGCAGACCTGGAACTGGGACCCAGGCCTCTTGCCTTTGGGTGGAGGGTCTTTTCAAATTCAGTCCTTATAACCCCCCTGCACCTCTCCAGGGTCACAAGAACAACAGCTGGGGGATGGGTAAAGTCTTGGGGGGCTGGAGCTGTCTGGAGAAAAAGGCAGCTTCTCCTAATTCCCACCAATGACCCACAGGGACTGGCTGGGCTCTGTGTGGACAGCCTTTGTGTAATTTTTGTAGGAGACTTGGGGACGGGATATAGGAGACTTGGTGAGCCCTGGCTTCCATCAGGAAGTAGAACTTGGGTACAGGCCGATTTCTCTCCCAGGCCGCGCGAGTCCCCAGGCCGGAGGTCCCACCGCCACAGCAGCGGAAGTTCCCACAGCTCCTCACTCTCCTCCCAGGACAGCGACTCCAGATCGCCCAGCAGGTAGGTCCTGGGCTCCCGGGAGAGCTCAGGGCGTGGCTGAGCCCGACTTTCTGCTGAAGCTAAGCTGTCTTTCTGCGTATTAAATACACTCGAGGCTGGGGAGCTACACAGCAATTAATCAGTGGGTAGTTTACCAGGGCAGCGCCAGTGCCAACTTGGAACTGGGCTAGGCATCCCAGACCTTGAATAGAAATCAAGGCAGCGTGCGGACTGGGGCTTGGCTCTCTAAATAGAAATATTCCGGGCCAAGTGCGAAGGCGGGTAGGGAGCTGCCCTTCCTGCGGGAAGCGGCTTCGGGTAGAGGGGCGTCCCACGCCGGCTCTCCATATGTCTCCTGCCCCAGGCTGAGCCCCAAGCCCCGAGGCGAAGGTCGGAAGACGGGCAGCCAGCGGTCCAGCGGGAGCCGATCGCCCTCCCTGTCGGGCGGCAGCGGATGGGGGTCGCCCCAGCAGAACGGAGGCAGCCGGCAGCGGAGCGGAGCGCAGGGGGGCCGCCCGGGCTTGGCGCACAGCCCGCCCGATGTACGTATGCCTGGCTTTGCGGAGGGTTCCTGCGACGCGCGGGCTGCGCCTGGGTGGGGCGGGGGCGTCGCTGCGGCGGGGGAGGCAGTGAGTGTGTAACGGGGCGGGGGCGCTGCACGCCTTCCTCAGGCCCGCCGCTTCCCCCTCCCCTGCGCCCTCCCTTGGACGGGAGCGGCCGGGAGCGCTTGGTTGTTATGCCCACCAGGCTCTAGTGCCCTGTGGGTGGGTGGGGGTGCTGCAGGCTTGGGTCACCTTTGAGCTTGGCAAACTGAAGGCCAGGGAGGGTTACCACCGCGACACTCAGCCATTTAAGTAAGGAGCTGAAGAGGAAACAAGATCTCTTGCCTCCCTCTCCCAGGCATATGGAGGAGGGAGGGGGCGTGGCCATTGAGACAGGACTCGCTTGGGCATCACTTGGGCCCTAAGCCTCCCTCTCCTCACCAAGCCCTTTCCCCCTCTCTGAGTGCTCTCTGCCCCTCACTCAGCCCCTTCACTAGACCCCCCCTTCCCCCAGTCCCCTAGCCACCACAGAGCTGCATTTCTAAGGTCCTTTCCCCAGCCACAGATATCTCAAACCTGAAGGTTCCACTTTCCATCTTTCCAAAGGCACCGCCCCGTGTACCCATTGCTCCCTGGGAGACCACCCCAACGCCACCCCAAAAACTGTCCTCACCCATCCTCCAGGAGGGGCACAGATTTCTTGAAACCCACAGGCAGGTGTGGTGATTGTAGGAGCTGGCAGCTGGGTGGTAGGGTTTCTCCTAGGCCCCCTTTTGTCTGCTGATCTTAGAGTGCGGTGTAGAGGCCCCCCAGGGAGAAGGGATTACAGCAATGACAGGAGCAGTGGGTGGGCACAGGGGACCTAGGGTGGGCAGTCTGCAGGTCCCTCACCACCACCACACACGCAGGCAGCCCAGAAACCCCAGCAGGGAGGGGGTGCTGCTGCTCCCCAGACCTCAGGTCTCAGCAGCAAACCTGCACATGTCAAGTTTTGTTTTGATTTTTGGCTGTTTTCGTTTAACTCCCTTTCTTTTCTCAAATACCCTAGTCCAGGACCTCAGCAAGGAAAGTCAAAGGGCCCCTGACAAAAGGCTTTTGGTCTCAAGGTTAATTTTTGTTTAGGGACATTACCCAAGTGGAAACTGCCCCTCCTGGACAGGGTGCCAGGCTCCTGAGCTCTGAGGGGCCTGGTCAGTCCACGTGGGGAAGATCACACCAGTGTCCCTGGATCTGTCCTGAGTGTGGGAGAGAGCACACAGAGGTAGCTAAGGGCAAACAGGAGAGGGACAGGTCATGACATGATGCCCAACCTCCTACCCAATGGGCACAAAGCCTGAACAACACAGTGCCCCAAACACCTTCTCATGGAGGAACAGAAAAGCATGTGTTTTCAAGTCAGGGTGAAAGGAGGCCACTTTGGTTCCCCTCTCCAGCCTTGGATGGCTAAGCAGTGCCCCACAAGAGTCCTGGGCATGTGCAGACAAAATGGTCGCAGCAACTAGGTAGACCTAAGAGCAAGCAGTCAGGGAAGGTGGCCTAGCCGCTGGCCTGGGGAAGAAGCCTTAGCAGCACCCCAATCTTCTCCTTCCCAAAGGGGGACCACCTTTTGACATGGCCCTGGGAGTTTCCTAGGAGACAACCCTTTGTTACTCCTTTCACAAAACATGGCCCCCTAATTCTCTCTCTACTCCCTGGGCTCTGGGAATTCAAAGACTGCTGACCATCCCCTGCCTCTCACCTGCACTCAGATCCCCTCCTTGCCCATCGAGCCTCTCCTCAAAGTGAAATGTAGCTGGTTCTTGCCTCCAGGGAGGTGAGGTGGAAGTCATAGACTTTGCCATTAACCAAAAATGTTTTTTTGGGAAAAGCACTGGGGGTGGTATTCTTGGACTCTCACCTTTAAAAAAAAAGAGAGAGAGAGAGAGAGACAAATGGAAAAAGAAAAGCTCACCATTCTTAACCCCGTCTATGTTTCTGTTTTTGTTTTTGTTTTTAGCCTCCCATTTGAAACGTGGTAATATTGTGATTCCATTTCTTGTTTAGTGGCAAGGGAAGGGGGTGGGAAGTTTATGTAACTCTTCCTGTTATTTCATTTTATTTTTGTTTGTGTTTTCTTTTCTTTTTCTTTCTTTTTTTTGTTTTTTGTTTGTTTGTTTGTAATGTACAGAAATGCAAACTATCTCTCTGGGTTTTTTTCTATCTTCTCTGTTGTTCTAGAATTTTGCTTTTGTGTGTTACTGTGGGAGCCCCTCCTCCTAATGCAGAAATGGTTTTTGAATCTCAGTGAACATTAATCATATACATATCTCTATAAATTACTTTTCCTTTCTAATCAGAATTTAAAAGGGAAGATAACACTTACAAAATCGTTTCCCATGCCAACAGCTTCTGCCAAATCTGCAGCAGCAGCCATCCCTTCCCTCAACCCCAGGCAAAGGGCACGGGTGGACCCGCCTTAGCGTTCAAGTTAACAAAAATGGTGCAGACCGTACTCTGGGTCCCTGTCCATAAGGAACTTTGGAGAGAAACTGGGAGACCTAAGGAGGGAGAGACTTATCCCAGGCACCCAGGGTCCTTCCCAGAGCAGTGAGCCTCCTGTGTCCTCTTGGTTCTGTCTAGGATAAGATGATGGCTAGGCATGGCAGGGAGAGCCTGGAAGAGGGTGCTGAAGACACCTGAGAGTTTAGTTCAGGTGAGGGCTTCAAAGCCAGACTCTCCCAGCCAAGAGAAGAAAAAGCCATCCTCGTTTTGAGACTGAGGCCATAGGATGCTGGCTCCCAACATCCCTTTGTTGTCCCATCCCAGGCCAGGGCTGAACCCCCAAAGAGATTTCTAGGTTCTGCTGCCTACTGCTGTCTGCAGCTCACAGAGATCAAATGACCAGCTAAAGACACACAGCGTTTCAGAGGCAGATCTAAAAAGGAGACCCTCTAACCTCAAGACCCCAGCCACAGCCAAGGTGTGGAGATGGTGGTCAATGGGAAGTACACAGGGTAATGGGAAGCACACGTTAGGAGCCTGAGTAGGAGGAGAAGGAGGAGGATTTGGGAAGTGGATTCTGGGGGCCTCAGCTCTTTCCTTTCTCCTGGGAAGTTGTTGGCTCTCTGAACTCCCTGGCACTGAGGCCTGCCCACATGAAGACCAGGGTAGAAGTGAGCCTGGTGTTGCACAACTCTATATGACTGCAGCTTTAGCAACTCAGGGAACCCTAAGCCCTCACAGTTCACACCAGCTGGGAAAAGAAATAATGAAGCAAAGTGAGGGAAAGGAAGCCACTCAAGGTCATACAATGTGGGGTAGAAAAGTAAGATACTGAGCCCAAAGCCCAGCATGCTGGCCAAATAGGGTTGCGAGGATTGCAGCCTTAAGAGTAGGGCCCCCTTCCTTGGCTCCATCTGTCCCTAGCATTGGAAGCCTCACCATTTGCCGTTAGAGCCAGAGATGCTTCCTGAGCAAGGCCCCCAGGCTCTCTGGTTTCCGCCTCTGGTTCAAATTTCATCTCAAAATGGGCAGCCTAGAGTGACCCCAGAAGAGGTGCCCATGGCACTGCCTGACCTGTCTCATCCAGGCCTCTGTCCTCTACACCCCCAGGAGGAGCAGCGACCATGGCTGGAGTGAGGAAGTTAGCATAGGAAGGGACACCCTGGCATTTCTTAGGCTAAAGCCGGAAAGCAGGAGGGATGGATTTTGCTAAATGGTGCTGAAGCCAGGGGGAAAGGGAACAAGGTTGACTTGAGGCAGGCTCAATCCTCCAAATTGAATCCGTGGTTGCCTTCCCTTTTAAATGCACAGTTCCCACCTCACCCCATCTGTCCACTCTGATTGGCCTTGTCTAAACAGCTTCTTTTTCTTCTTTCTGGCTGGGTCCACCTTTCTCTCTGTCTCTATTTCCTTCTTCCTCTGCCTTTGCTTCTCTCTCTCTCTCTCTCTCTCTCTCTCTCTCTCTCTCTCTCTCTCTCTCTCCTTGAGCCCCTCTGTCTCTTTCTCTCCATCTCTCCCCTGAAATGGGCCTATCTCCCCAGGCTGCAAGCCCCTCCTTCACCCACCCTGTGGTTCTGCTTCCATCAGCTGCTTCCTGCATGCCCTCTGGAGGTTTTTGTTGTTTAAAGAGTTAAAAAAGCTTGGCTATTTGGAACCTGTGGTGGGAGGGGGAAAGCAAACAGAAATGGCTGGGCAGGAGTCCCCTGCCATCCCTGGGACTAGACCAAAAGCCACACTTAGCTGCCATATGCCACCTCAGAGGGGGAGCGCAGCTCAAAGTCACTGTCTTTCCCCATTCTGCATTCCCAATGCGGAGACCTTCTTTTCTTTTTTATTATTGCATTCCCGTCCCTGACCACTGAGAAGGTAGGTATCCCAGCTCAGCTGTGCGCTCGCTCGCTCCCATCTCCAGATAAGCCCCGCCACTCTGCTTGGTTTGAATGTGGTTTTCTTCCTCTTTCTCTCAGTCTCACTCTGGTTGAATTTCTTCCCTTCCCTTTTCTTTCCTTATTTTAGTGACTACTCATTTGTAACTTGCATTTTCTCCAAATGAGCTACAAAGCTGTGTTTCCTGGTTTGTCCTTTGGTTTTCTTGACCTCCCCCCACCCCACCCCAACAACTTTTCTGGTTCATTCTTCCTCCTTCCCACCTTCCCTGCTCCTCCTTCTTCCTCTCCACCCCACCTCCCAACCCTCCTTCATGCTCTCTCTCATTTTGTTGTCTGAATGCATTTCTGTGTGGTTTAGCATTCCAAGTTTGTGTTCCCATCCTGAACTCTATGCTGTGGTTGAGCCAATTTGATTTCTGTTGTCTGGAGTAACTGCTAAGTCTCTCACCTCTCACCCCTACCAGCCCCTGGGGTGACTTGAGCAATAAATCTTTGTTGGAGGGGCCTGTGCTGGGCCTTTGCCCTCCAGATGCTGGAGGAAGTTCTGGCTGAGGTCAGGCCTGGGAAGAGAGCCCTGTCCCATCCTCTGGGTCTGCTGGGCTCTTGTAGGTGCTGTTCTGGCTGACAGGT